AGAGAGAACTTTTAGCTGACTCTCTTTCTGTTTTGCAGGTTTGTCATCCACAACAAGATTACAATGACAAATGGTGTTGGCTTAGTGACCCTATTTGTGGTTTCTTTGTCAAGTTGGCATATCAACTCATTCAAGCAGAAATTGGACAGTAAGTGCAGATTGAAGAGCTGGCGAAGAAGGTGCTCATCAAGAATTGGAAATCTTGGTCACCACATAAATTAATGGTGTTTATCTGGCAAGTGATGCTTGACACTTTTCCAACTAAAGAAAACTTATCCAGGAGAGGTTGCACAGCATTAATAGGAGATGAAACGTGTGTCATATATGGGCTTCATATGGAATCAATTGAACACTTATTTCTTAATTGCAACTTTACTAAGAGGATTTGGAAAGAGATTATGAGCTGGTTGGATTGTAGTATATGCCGCAATATACTACTCTGGCTGAACACGCATTGAGCTTCTTAAAGTTAACAATGATCAAGAAAGGCTGGAAACCAATGTTTGTGATATGGTTAACGACAATTTGGAGTGTTTGGAGATATAGGAATGACATTATTTTTAAACAGAACACTACAGATGTTGATGACAACCACAAACCGTATCGTCGAATTAAACGATCTTGAATTGGATTTCACACAATAAAAACAAAATTATTAGGGCATAAATGGGAATTGAAACAAGAAGAAAATTAATAAAAAATGAAAATAGAATAGAGATGGAAAATGGCGCCACAATCACAAGATTGATAAGCCAAAAAATGATCGCCACAAGAGTCTTGGCCTCCTGATAAGATCAAAGAAAATTGGCTCACTCAAGAACCTAAAGTTACACGCTCTCACAAGAGTGTTCAATATTAAGTTGTATTCAAAACTAATTAAAAGTGTATTTACAAGAGCTTATATATGTCTAATGCTTATAAATCAATACTAACACAAACCCTAATGGGCCTTTTGTACTAACAAGTCTAAATTTAAATAAATTAAATAATGTAATAAGATTTTACCCTAAATAAAAATTTAAAATAAGTAATGACTAATATTAAAATAAATAAACTAAATATAATAATTAAATCCTAATAAAACTTATTAGAATCCAAATTTTCTAAGCATATGTAATTGACCATATTGGGCTTTTCTAACTCCAAATTAAATTCTCTTTCAATTAGAACAGTAACAATTTTTTCTAAGTCACTATTTATTTTCTTTGTTCTTATCTTTATCATTGGTCCTTGAAGTTCTTCTAATGTCTTCAAGTCTTTGTCTTCAATGGGTCTTTCTTGATTTTCATCATATGTGGACTTGATTGTGGAGGATATTAAAAGAAAATCATGAAATACTTTGTATAGCCATGCAACTTCATCGTGCCTCTCACTCAATGCATGGATTTTGGAACCCATTGTCTTTGTCCCTTGTATTGCCTAAATAAGTATTGAAAGGAATGTGGGGTTACGAACTATTAGATCCTCTACTTCATTCAAAGATGAGAAATTGTAATACATATTACTTAGGAGGTTATAATTTGTATGTTTTTTGTGGTTATCAAATGATACAAAAGGCATCAACCATTAGCTTTTAGTATAGAAGATATACTCTACTCTACTTGGTATCTCCTTCCTTTAGCGGTGACATTGATCTTAAGGGAGTGAATGTCTCATAATAGACTTTTGAGACCTGTAATCAGCATGTAAAAAGTTGTAATGTGAGTACAATTTGTGCTCAATTATTTATTATAATATATATTACATTTGCTTATAAAAAAAATTTTAATATTTAAATACATTTTTGGTTCAATTAATATGATTTTATGCAATTTTTTATTTTATTAAATTTTAATAAATAATTTTTATTATTAAATAACTACTATTATGTGAGTTAACATGATTATTTTTATATCTTCAATTAACTGTAACGACTACGTGACGCGAACTATTTTAAAGTGTTTTAAAATTTATGAAAATTGGAGTTAACACAAAAAATAAAAAATAAAAATTATATGAAATTATATTTATATTGAGTGAAAATACATTTAAGTCTATTCCACTTTATACTCTCTTTAACAATAATTATTATAGTAAAATTTTAAAAATGATATATTAACAAGTGAAAATAGAGTATTGGTTAAATATAAACGTTTTTCATAATTTCAATATAATTACTAATTAAAATTTGGCTTAAATACATTTTTTTTATTTCTTTTAATTTGGACTACATGCAATTTTGTTCCATCGCTTTTTGTTATCTAATTTAAATTCTTTTTTTCTTTCAAATTTAAACAAACTTTGTCCTTTTTCATAAACAGGCAAAATTTGTCCACTTGTCAATTTTTTCACTAAGTTTTTTATTTGTTTTTTTAATCAAAATTTTTTAAGACACTAATAATAAGATTTGAACTATAATTGATCCTATTAAAAAAAGTCATTGTGTAGATGAGCTTCTAGCAAATACTTACAAGATGAAAGCTTCTGTTTTTCAATCTATGATTGATTTTTATGTTTTGAATTGTAATCCTCAGCAATGGATTTGTTGGACATTTCCTCCTGAAGGTGTAGTGGCATAAGAGATGGATGCAGTGCTCATGGAAATTCTCACCTTGTAGGATTTGGAGGTATGCTACTTAACTTTTTAGCCTTTTGGTTGTGTGATTTTTCTAGTTATAAATTGACATTAAATAATACAAAGGCTGAACTTGTTACTTTTTATTATGATCTCTTAGCAATCTAGAATGAAAGTTATACCAATAAAAAAGTGTTATAGCGATTGTTTAAAAGAAAATTATTTGGTGCAGAATCATACTTCTCAATGCAATTTTATATTAGCTTTTTTTTCCTAGTTGAAATTAAATGGTATAGTGTTTATCATTTAATGTAAGTACCACATACTGTATACCATTTTTAGTGGGGTAATTAAAATTTTAATCCTGTAAAATATCGGTATTTTATATTAAATTGCACATATTATATCATTTTTTGACTGAAGAGAATCTGATCCCTCAATTAGATAAATATAATTCCATGATACCGAATGTTCATGACTTCCTTGCTAAAATGGAAGCTCTCAACATCAAAAGTTTCAAATATTTCGTTCTCCTCTTTATGGCTTCAGATTGATGTTGCTGATATTTCTTAATTGATATTATAATTGTTGTTTTCTTTTCTTTTTCCATAATTATTGATGAAATTATGGAAGTTGACCAACATTAAAAGATAAAAAAAAAAAAAGCTTTAAAAAAGTTTACGTATCCTTAGTAACTTATTATTGAAAAAAAGGTGTTGAGAACATATTTTTTTAATATATTTTAAATTCTTGACTCAGTTTTATTAAAAATTTAAAAACAAGTAAACTCAAATAATTTTAATTAATAATTAAATGTGTTTAAAAGAATGTATTGATAATATTTTTATTATAACTAGTCTTTGACAGGTAACAAAACCATGTGGGACCTCCATGTCAAGGAGTTCAAACGAGTCTAGACTAGTAACAAGCCACCACCCACTGCTTCAAGGAAGAGGATGCAAATTACAACTACTCTTCTTAGATGCATTAAGAATGCTAATATTCCAAACACTATAAATTAGGTGAATAATTTCACTTCATCACTCATTTTGGACATAATAGACATTTTTTAAAGGAGATATATTCTTTTTATAAGAGATCAATAAAATTACTTTTTCAGAAGAAAAATATTTCTCTTTTTTCTGTTATTTTTGTCTTCTCTTATTATTTATTCTCCTTCTTAATTTGGTGAAAATTGATTCATACAGTAGTTAGATATCAATATATTCATTATTTATTTGGAGCAAAGTTAAATCGAAAGATGTTAAATACTGTGCAAAGCAATTCCCCACGCCTTGAACATATTTTTTTTCTTTATTTTATTAATCAAACAGGGTATAATTAATATATACAATTGATTTATAAATACTCTTTCCATTTTTCTTTGATATTTTAGTATTTTTACTTTGTGTATTTTTTTATATCTTTATTCTGAATCATTAATGTGTATTTGGCAGAGAATAATAAATAAGATATAAATTAGTATATAGTTGAAAGTTATAGTAAAAAATTTAAACAATTTGTTTATAAAGTTTATATCACTAAATATTTTCTGAATTCAAACCTTAAAATATGAATAAAGTAATTATAAAATTTAATAATTTGTGCTGATTTGGTCTCCAAAATATTGTGTAGATAATTGAGTTCTTAAATTTATCAATTTCATAACAAATTTTAAGATAACTTATTTCTTGAGTGTTTCAACTTCATGGCATATTTAATTTTTTAATTGGTCAATTCATAGTGGAAAGACTAGTAGTCATAAAATTGACAAGTTACCATTTTCAGATATAAAATTTTACATTTACCCACTGATTTTTAAAAACTAGCAAAAGGTACGCACACTAAAATATTAAATTAAGTATAACTGTGTTATAAAGCACCGTTTAACTATTTGATATTTATGTTTAAGGAAGTAAATACTGACCAAAAAACTTTAAGTAGCATTTGATGAGTTTATCCAAGGTTATCTTATCTTTGACTTTTAATATAATATTCTATTTTGTTCTCCTTAATCCCTCCTTTTAAATGCCAAATATTCTATAAAATTTTATGTTATATATTGTTTTGGATAATATTTCTTATCATTGTCGATTGTCATTTTAATTAAAAAATATAAATTACTTTTATATAAAAAAAAATATATTTTAGACAAAAAAAAAATTAAACAAATGATAATAAACAAATAAGTGTAGTAATAAACATATTTTTTGTTTTATTATAAAAAATAATATAAAATAAATTTCACGTATTTTATTCTGTCTTAGTAACATAAAATCATAATTAAGAGATGATTTATTTATTTAAAATAATTAGCTGAAAACGTATTTAAAATTATTTTTGATTTTATTTCTTTAAAGAAAAACTTTAACAAATAAAAAAATAGTAAGAATAGAACGAAGGAAGAAAGCGAGTCTCCTTAGTCCTTTCTACGAATCTTCATTCCCTCCTTAGTTGATCCCCACTCAATTCAATTCTTCGTTTTCCAAACATTTCCACCGAACTGAACTAACGAAACCGTTTGCGAACGATAACCATGGAATCGGCATTGATATTTCTCGGAACTGGTTGTTCCGGTTCCGTTCCCCGCGTAAGTTGCCTCATCAACCCTTCACGTCCTCCATGCCCCGTCTGCGTTCACTCTCTCTCTCTCCCACCTCATCTCAACCCTAACTACAGGTTAACTTCACCTTCTCTCTCTGTCCCGCTCTGCATACTTTGAGAACTCGCGCGCTATTTTTTATTTTAAATAATAATAATTGGACTGGTAAAATGCATATTCAGAAACTTACGTGCTAATTTTGATTTTAATTTTTAATTATATCATGTATTATAGATTTTAACTTTGCAGGTGTAATACCTCTTTGTTAATCGATTATTACTGTGAAAACGATGGCGCTCACAAATATGTATTGATTGATGCTGGAAAGACGTTCAGGGAGACTGTGCTTAGGTGGTTTGTTTTCCATCACATCCCAAGAATTGATTCTGTTAGTCACTCACTTAATTTCCCTTTTTATTTACGTTTTTTTTTTTTTTTGTTATTATTTTCCGAATTTTGATTTATGAATGTAACCTTGTATGTGTTCAGCTGTGTTATTATTCTTGAAGCTTAATTTGGTAATTGTTATCTGGTGTGATGAATTGGCTATTTCTTGCTTGAATCATTGCAGATTGTTTTGACTCATGAACATGCTGATGCAGTCCTTGGATTGGATGATATGCGTTCTGTGCAGCCTTCTAGTCACACGAATGATATCGATCCTACGCCTGTGTACTTATCTCAACATTCAATGGATAGGTAAACTCGAGTCACCTTTCCCCTTTTTATTTGATTTAACTTGTTTGATTTGGCTGAAATTGCATGTATTCCTTCCTTTATTTTCTAGACAGACAGAATGACCAAATTTGGGTGCTTGTATGCTTGTAATTTTTTCTTTTTTTTTTCTGATTAGAATGAACATGTTGGCATTATTTCCCTTTCATTTGATTTTATGGATGCATTTTGCTTTAGAGTAGTTGATTTCTTGTTTTACATATTTACAACAGCATGGAAAAGAGGTTTCCTTATTTTGTTCAGAAAAAACACAAAGAAGGGCAAGAAATACGAAGGGTACCTCAGTTTTGCTGGAACATAATTGCCGATGATTGTAATCAGCCATTTTTTGCGTCAGGCTTAAAATTGATTCCTTTGCCGGTTAATCATCGCAAACCTTGTCTTTGATGGTAAGAATGCAATACCCCTTTTACTTTGTAAGGATTTCAGTGCTCATTTCTGGATGTAGGTAATGCATGGAGAAGATTACATTTGCCTGGGCTTTCTTTTTGGTGAGAAAAATAGGGTGGCGTATATATCTGATGTTTCACGGATTCCAGCCAGTACAGAGTACGGTGCGTTTTGAAGTCATTTCTTCCTGCTTGGACATTTGTGTTACTTCATTAATGCTATCTCATAAACTTTATTTGATTGGAGAGAATTTGGGGAGAAATAATGTGGAAAAAGAGAAAATGTAGATTTTGATGTTTTCTCTTGTTTGGATCCACCTGAAAGTTATCTTCTCACTTCTGGGAAGAAAATTTTTCTTTTCTTTTTTTTTTTTGGGGGGGGGGGGGGGAGGGAGATGATGTTATGTCATTTTATGAAATTACAATTTTGCCCAGAAAAACACATTCAGTTTCCTTTATAAAGGGAATATAGGTCATTTTATACAACTACATTTTCTTTCCTCTCACTTTCTAAAAAACCAAACAAGAAAAATATCATATATTCTTTTTTTCTCTTTAGCCAAACTTTAAGTTAGACCATTTAAGCTCAATAAGTGACTACTTATCTGTCTGTTTTAGTCAATTATTTTGAAATTAGAAGTTAAACTTCTCCAACTGTCTTTGGGTGCTTTGTGCAACATGTCACATTGTCTTTGTAAACAAAAGAGCAACATGACTGCATAGTTTATGCCACAAAGAACTATCCTGCTGAGAGAAAATATTAAGGTATTGCAATTTATGTTGAATACATTTAGGACAACCATGAAGTACCTTTGATTCCAAATTTCTTATGATGAGTACTGCCCTGCTTTTTCTTTGATGAGGAGGCTTCAGCTCTCCTTCGTTGTGTAACTTAATGTTCTCTGTAGTTAAGACCACTCTAAAGTTCTTTTGAAGAAGCTGCTGAAATAGTGTAACTTCAGCCAACTATTTTTACCTTCTATGCCCAATGTTATCCTTCTCTTTTTTCGGTCAAGTGATTTGTATGAGGTTCAAAATTGAGAGGATTTTGTTTTTCAACTATCTCCCATCTCATGCTAGTGACTGATAGGTAAAGAGGGAAGGTGTGATATTTACCACTAGGTTATATGAAAATAACATACAAGTTACTCATGTAAAGAAGTATTTCAATATTGATATTGATTTTTGCAACTCATCAATGATCAACCAGAATTTAGTTTTCAGACCTGAAAAATTAGCCTCAAAGTCTCAAGGATGTTATATCATATTACAACAAGCAGTAAGCAAGCATTATTTATTTCACCCTAAACAAAACCAGAGATACTGAGTAGCTTAAATTTTTAGCCTTGTCTTCCTCAATGAAACAATAGGTAGGCAGCTCACATATTTAGTAGTTTTTGAAGCATCTATACATCATTGTAAAACCCTCCACAGAAGTGTGCTTTTTAACATCTAAATATATTGGCAAAATGTTCTTTTTCTACAGTTATTTCAAAAAGTGGGGCTGGACAGTTGGATCTTCTTATATTGGATGCATTGCGTAAGGTCAGTGATTCCATTTTCAATTGTTTTTGGGGTGTGTGTGTGTAGTGTAAATATTGTATTCCAGGTGTATATGTGAATTCTGCTACAGAAGGTACATAATAATCATGACGTGTGACAGGATTTTAAACCGAACCTTTACACACAGTACACAAATGACAATCGAACAAATCTGGTAGATAAATTCCCTACCAGCATGAGCCAAGGATCTCCGCTCTCCTTTAGAGCAAAAATGATATTTAATTTACCTACTTGATAATAATTTATCAGGATTTCCTTTTCTTTAGTTTTCTCAAAAATGTTTTTGACATGTTTTTATTGTTCATATTTTAATATTGGCAAGTGATCATGATTGTGGAGCTTCACCTTATTTGATTAATTTTTCTTTGTCTTGCCTTTTCTGATATATATTTGTCAGTTCCATTTTTCAGTTTTCTTATTTCTTTATTTTCTCAGAGATAGTTGTTTCCTTCTTCATATTTCTCTTACTGTTTCCACAGACTGGATCACATAACGTTCACTTTTGTCTTCCACAGGTTAGTTCTGCATTTTACAAAATAAAGTTTTGGCCTACTATCTCTCTGATGGTGAAATCTTGTTATTTGTAATTTTACAGGCTCTTGAAGCTGTAAAGAGGTTATGTCCAAAGCGAACCCTATTGATTGGAATGAATCATGAGATTGATCACCACAAGGACAACGAATTTTTAAGGGAGTGGTCCAGAAGGTACAATTCCTGTCCGTTTCTCAAAATAGTCCAAACTTAACTGTTAAAAATACAATATGTAATATTTGATCCACAACACCCATGTTAACAGTACTACATGAATGGTGTTCAACAATTTACCTTTGTAGCTTGTACTCGGTGGTATGTTATGGATTACAGTTGATTCTTCTATATTTTCGCTTAGGGAAGGACTATCAGTGCAGCTTGCTCATGATGGTTTGAGAGTCCCCATAAACTTATAGTAAGGTAATACTTGTGGACCTGAATCTCCTTTCTTCTTATTTGAAGTAGTATATGTACTACCAGTACTATGAATTCTTCACCATGATCAGTAGCATGCATTAGCGTGTGAGGTCTCACCCTTCTTGGAGGGTGCGCTTCCTAAGTTATCACATTTCTGAATACCGTTTATCTTTTGTTTTTGGTTTTCTTTTCTTCTCTGCTTTGCAAAGTTTGCATTGATAAATTGTGGACTGAGAGAGCGTGCTTGTTTGGAAAGGTGAAAAATGAGTAGCTACAATGTTTGTTAGATGGGAAGTGAAAACAGAATGGTAATAGTACGGTCACTTTGAATTTGGAATCATTTAAATAGGAAATTATTTTATTTGATTTAAAAATAAAAAAACTCTCAAATCTGACCAAATTTCAGTGAATTTCTACAACAACTAAAATCAGAATGATTTCATTATCTAATTATTTCTAATTTTTTAACTTTCCAAACAAAGAAATTCATTTGTCAATTTGTATTTTTTGACATCTCAAGAAAAATGTTTCATTTATAAACAAAATCTATTCCCAAACTTTGAGGTTTCAAACAGATTGTCGTTGTTGCTTGATTTTTAAAAAATTACTTTCAGCTCACTTTCATAGGAATAATGACTTGCAATTTACATTCGACAGTCCCATATTTTCGTTATACTTGCTAAATTTGAAATAATTTCTATCTTAAATTTCCCAGCACTCCATAAACAAGTGTACTTTTTCTCCTCCCTGAGTAATCCTTTTTCCCGTGGTTCATATTTGTATTTCAATGAAAAATTGGTTCTCTTGTCCTAGCATGTTAAAGCATGAGGGAATATAACCTTACTGTTGATCTTGGTTAGGTTGGAGAAGACCGAAATAATTTTAAAGATTATCTTGTGCTCCTACCACACAGTCGGGAATCAATATTTTTACTAAAAGGAAAGGCACTTTTAATCCTATGTAAGAAAAGGATGATGACCCGTTGTGATGGATTCCTTCTTGTTCTAATTGAATTCTTGAACGTTGTATACGAAGAGCAAAATCTGCACCTAGATGCAGTTCTTCAATATAGTTGGGTTGAGGTGATATTTTATTGTTTGGTCTTTTTAGTGGAAATGGTGGCGGGCTTGTGGATAACTATTCTCCTTCAAACTGGCGTTATGTGTGTAATGAGGGAGAATAATTTTTCTTTCATTTTTTCAAAAAAAAAATCAATTATTACTTTCAAAATTATTTTTTGAAAAATAATTGAAAAATTTTGAAAATTAAATGTATATATTGTTTTTTAATTTAATATTTGAAACCTTCTAAAATTAACTTTCAGATAAGAGGGTTACAGAATTAAATTTTGGAATAAGTTATGAAGCAAACTAAAATGTGGTGGCCGGAGATTTTGTGGTGTCTATTATGCGCTTTGGCTGATTTTGGATGGCATGGTATGTGACCAGTGACCTATTATTTCCATAGCGTTAACACGTAACACGTGACCAATTGTTGTGCCTACAGTGATGAGCAAAGTTTGTGACTCCTTTAAAAGCTATCGATGGTCTTCCGATTCATTTTGCCATGGAGTTTCCTCGATGGCAAATTTACAATTTTTTCTTAATTATATTTAAAGAGAGAGAGAGAGAAATAAGACTAAGGGCATGCTAAAAAATTTAAAAGTTATAGGTAGTAAAACAAAGTTGTAAATTTATAACTTCGAAATTAGCTGAAAGTTTACAATTGTACAGATAAGTTAAAGAATTAAAATTATTTGAAAAACTAATTAGTTTATTTATGTTAAGTAAATTAAAATACATAAAATTATAATTATTTATTTATTTATTTATTTAATTTATGATCAATTAATTAGATAATTATATAGAAAAATAAAATTTCTTTTCATAAAATGAAATATTCTACGTCATATTTTTTTAATATAAAATATATTTGGATAGAAAAGATATGAGAGCAAAATAATAGAGAAAAGAAAAAGAATGAAATTGTTATAATGGTAAAGAGAATAAAAGATAATAAGATTAATTATATAAATGAAATTTAAATTGTGTAATAGATAAATTGTTTTATAAAAAAATAAAAAGTAAAAATACAATAAAACTATTGATAGCTAACTTTAAAAACTAAACATTAGTTTAGATAATTTCAAATGCTATAGTTTGTCAAACAACTTTATAAGTTTATTGACTAAGTTAATTAGTACGAACTTCTAAATAAGTTACAAATTACATTTATCAAACATAACCTTAATAAAGAATGAAGAAAAAAAATTATTTTTCTTAATTTGTGTTATAGTTTTAAATAACAAATAAAAATGCATGGATTGAGTATTAAATAAATAAATGTTAACTTTTTTATTTTGAAAATATTATATGTATTTAATTTCAACGTGATTTGTTATATAAAAATGTTAATAGAAAATTATTTTTCTTTGTGATTGTCTTTCACTCAACCAAAAAAGCATTACGCATTCAAGTTAGATTTGACCCGCTAGCTTTTAATTGGTTGCCTTTCGTATTTATCGTTAAAGAGCATGAGTATGGAATAGCTTAAGAGGTTCACGTGGATCAGAATGTGTCAAAAAGCTACATATTCGTTCAAACTTCAAACAAAAAGGTTCAATTTTTTTTTACAAATAAACAACCGCGAGCTATCCATTCGACGTAAATTACTTCTCACATAAATTAATATTTACTAACCGTATAAATTGATTAAGATCTTGACTTGCTTTTATTTTTATAAAAAAAAATTGATTTTAAGTAAAAAAAAAGTGAAGGATATAATTTAAATTTGTTAAGATTTTAAAATATTTTACACAATCAACAAATTATGTATTGCTATATGCTTAAATTAATTATTACAAGTGTCGTTATTTTTAGTTACATGACAACCTATGATTTAAAGACCCTGTAAAGTGTATTTTGATTAAATTTTAATATAAATGAACAACCTAATTAAATTAAGAGTTTTGTTAATAAGTATCATAAAGATAAAAAATGAAACTTAGAAAAAAACGGTAACTTATTTTGGAGAGGTTGTACCTACTACTTCAGCTATTATTTCATTAGAAAAAAATAGTTTGACTGTCGATGGAAGGAAATCTTAGTGTACCCAAAAATAAGCATTTAATATGTTGAAAAAATTTTAAATGTAATAAATGTAGTGCTTTTTCATATGATAGTTTCTATATGTGATTCCATACAAATATCCTTAAATTAAATTTCAACTCTAATTAAAAACAACAACAATCTTTAAAAAAATTCTTAGTAAGTTAGAGGCTAACATCTGGTGTTGTTTTTCGGTACAATAATGTAAGCATCTTGAATGAGTCAAATACCCGTGAATGTCTAATTCCAAGTTCCAAGTTCCAAGTCACTTTTTATTTATATATTCGGTCGTTTACTAGCAAGACAAAACGAAATGGCCAATTGAACTGCTCTACACCAAAATTCAATATTTGGAACAATTCTAAGAAGCAACCTTAGGATTGATGGAAGTTTTGAGTACGCGTGTGTTGTGGTTCACGACTCATATTTGACAAATTTCAGACAACATAGTTTTAGTATTTGTAGCCTTTCCAATAAAACATAAATAGCATTTGTAAGCAGAAAGAAAGGAACAATATATAAAGAAGAGGATCATGACATGCTCTGTGGATTTTAACAGCAAAGATTTGGATATAAGCTTCTTTGTTTTCAAGCCAACTGTTGTAATTGTTGACCATCTTGTTCATGGACTCCAAGAGTTTTCTTTACTAACTGAAAACCTTGGTTGCTTACAAAGCTCAATATTTAGAAGCATCCATGGAAATATGGTAAGTGTTTCTCTCCTTTCTCTTAAATTTTCTCAATTATTTTTTTTACTAATTTCTCTTGAATTTTCTGTAATCTATAGTGTATACTTTTTGTATTCCTTCTGAAATCTGTATGCTCGAAATTGTGCTGATTAATCTGTGAAACCCATCTTTCCTTCTGCTAAATTACAATGCATGCTGACTTGGATGACCATATCTGGAAGATTGTACCATTTCAGATATAACTGGCTTCATGGTAGACAATACAATGCCAAAATATATAGCATCAATTCTTGTTTTTATCTTTCTTATTCCTTTTTCACATCATTTGTTTTTGTATTTCTATCATTTTGTGGATGATATTTTCTTTATTTCAGTGATTGACAACACAAGTGTCATAGCACCTTGGTGGATTTGGATCCTCTTTTGTTCTTTAGGTAACAAAAAAATGGTCATGATACAGAGAGAAATAAAATATAATTAATGAGTGTTATTATTTTATTGCGTGTTTCTCTCTTCAATGGGACCATCTTGTTAAAGTAGAGGATCCAAATCCCTCCTTGGTAGTGTAGCATCTGTGATGGTTGAATATGTCTTCATTCAACTGAGTCTTGGATAATTAGCTTAACATCTTGTAGTTGTGTTAAATTAATTATGTATTTTTTTCCCTAAGCATATCATGTTTTCTTTTCTTTTATGATCATTGTGTTAAATATTTGTGTCCTGTAATCAGATCATATGGTATGGAGCATGGCATAAACGGTCCAGTGATGAAAAAGATGAGTTGACCGCAAATCTTGTAAGTTTGACCCCTAACTACTGACCTAGTTTCTTGGATCAATAAATAGGCTTTGAAATACTTCAATAGGATAACATAATAATATTTTGACGCCTATAAGAGAAAAACAAGACAATTCTGATGAAACCTTGATGGGAAGAAAAATTAATCATATAAGTGAACCACAATTATGTGTGTGTGATTGTGTTTTGATAAAAGGAATTATTTGAAAAGAAGTGAAATACAAAGCCCGAGGATGAAGATTCTTCTTAAAAGCATAAACAAAAGGAAACAAGATAAATAAAAAAATATAAGCTTAAAAGAGTCCAGCAAAGAAACTCCTTTTAAATACTGCCGACATAAACCCACAAAAACGAAGACTGGTAGCTGAAAATTACAAAATTTTGCTAACACCAAATCAACTATGTGTCCACAAAGATTCCAAAACCCTCCACAAAACCTTGGCTTCCATGTCCCATTACCTTGATAACTAGTAGATAGAGAAGACATCCCAAGAATGAGAGGCAAAATCCAATGCACCCGAAAAAACCTTAGCAGAATTAATCACAATGCAAAAAACCATTAACTAGAAGCCTTATGTTGTTTATGCAGTTGCAACAGATAATAACAATTATTCCCTTAATGTGTTGCTGACCCAACCTTCGACCTTTCAAAAAGGAGTTAGAGAAGTATTATAAGTTGATGAATGCCATAAACTCACTATTTGACACTTTCTTTTTAACATTATCTCTGTTATTGGATGAAATTCCATAACTATTCCCATTAATTGTCCTGGGCACACCCTCTTCATGAGGAAGAACTCTGGAACAAAATGTAGATAAAAATATATTTACAAGCACCTGATCATGAAGTGCCCAAGGCTCATTTATATGTATGTTTTCAAAATTCAACTAAATAAATGTTATTTTTGGAACAGGAAGTCTAGGATTTGACTCACGGAATTCGCTTTCATACCAAATCTCAATGATGAGACGTGTGTCATAAATACAAGAATTATAGATACCCAAAATAACGTGATTACATGATAATCAATCACAAGGATTACTGTTTAATTAACGTAGCTAAATAATAATATACAGCACACAATTACCCTATTTACATTACTTCTAAGTAACACACATGGAATTACAACAATTTGAACCTTCTGATCTTTAAAACAACATGACACAAAACCACGGAAAATAAGTCATGAATTTATTATCTGATCCAAAGTAAACAAATTATTACATTTTTATGCTCCTTATCTACTGATCTGAAGAAAATGGTTTATTATGTTGAGACATTATATGACTGATCAATTTACATCTTCGAAATTTTTGTGCCAAATAATTATCTTACATTGAAATTTCTTTCTTTGTTCTCTAATTAACTCATCACATGCACTTATTGTTTTTTAAAATTTCCCTTTTACAGCAATCAATGCTAACTAATGTAACAAGAATGGCAGTTTTTGTTGAACATAATTTCCTTGATGCATATGCTGGAGAATCAAGAGATGGTTCTTCAACTGTGAAATTCAGTACTGGTGACATAATCTCCATAAACTCAGTAGTCACAAGTACTAAAGATCTTAATGACCTGTGCTATGCAGTCCTAGCTATTTTCAAGTCTCGTTTTTCCAAAATAGAAGGCATAAGTGCAGGGCTTTGCATGAAAGGCCAAAGATTACCTAGAGTGGTATGCATTCATGTGTGGAAGTCCCTACAATTTTGTTACTCATGGGTTCTCAATTCAGACCATAGAAAGTGGATGATGCCATATCTTGAACGCTTCTCCACTGACATGAAGTATGATATTTACCGAGTAGTCTTTGTTAGTGGTGACAATTTAGTGAACCTTCCCTATATTTCTCCTCATCAAATGTTAGAAAATGAGGAAGAAAGTAGACAGGGACAGCTTATGCAAAACTGACAATACTACCCGCTTGTTGCAAAGATTTGTATATTACTTTTGTAATAACAATTTGTGGATGAAAATTGAAAACTCAAAACAAAAATAACTGTAAATCATTTTCTTCTTTGACTAAAATATGAAATGTTTTTTAGTTGGCCAATCTAGAATTTGGATCTTTTCATGTTCATTTTGATCATGTTATGGAATAAGTTAGATGCAAATTGAAGTTATACATAAATTGATATATATATATATATATATATATATATATGAAATAAGTTAGATAGATGCATGGCTACGTGCGATAATACACAAGAAAATCGTCCAGGGGAACATATGCTTCACCGCTATGAATTGGGAGGTAAATCTGAACACAAGCTAACCTGCAATCTTTATCCTTTTTTCCTTCTGTCCTTTTTATCTATTTACATGAGTTAAACGATTCGAAGTAAAATCGTTTATACCTAGAAATTTTACTGTGATGATTTAGGATTCATTTAGTCTTCAAGTCACTCTATTAAGTATTAAACTCGGAGGAGTGTATTCTTTGTTATTGTTTATAATTTATTAAAAATTACATAAATATGAGTAAAACAAATTACTAAATTACGAGTAAAATTCACATAATTTATATATTTTAATGAATTTTAATGAATAACAAAATATATATTTAAAAAATGTTACTAATCTTTCTTTCTTTTGGTTAGATTACTAAATTTCTCTTAAATTCTAAGAGAGAGTCGAGCAAATTGCTACCTGGCCCAGAAGTTACCTTGTATTGTTTTGGGTCAAGACCCATGGGCTTGTATAAACAAGACATATGACATTATGATGCCTTTGAATGGGAACTTATTGTCAGATAAAAAAAGAATGGTAAGTTGTGCTTTTTCAGCTGTTGGGTCAGTGACCCTCAATTCATTTAATAGAAGCCTCTGACCCCAAAAAAGAAAGTAATTGCAGCTTGCCCACTTGACCAAGGGCCCAAAAGAACATGGAAGCAAAGGAAGCTTTTCTTCACCCACGTTCAATTTTATTAGGATTTTAGGGTAAATTAAATGCGGTGAACCACATCATCATGAAAAACAAACTTCTAAAAGATTCTTTTTAGATAAATAATAAAGTTAAAACAACGTAGCTACCATTAAAAGAAAATATTTTAGCCTTTGTCATGTTGAGCTTAAGATTTTCGTCTTTAGTTAAAAGCTAATTCTAGGTATACATTTGAAGGTTATGACCGCCATTATTTAAAGCACACAGGCAATGATCTTTCCAATCATGTTAACCCATGGCTAGTTTAATTCCTTGAAGCATTATAATCAAATGCAACACTATCAAAGGCACTTTTAAATTGGTGGCATTGGTCTTCATTCTCTTTAGAAGTAAAGTTTATTTCTATTAAATATAGTAGGGGCCATCATGATGATGATTCTGATTTTAAAACTTTGCCTAGTGTAGAGTTTAGATTTGCCATATCGTTAAATGCTTCCAAAAGTTTGTAAACCATCATTGACTTCAAAGCCAAGGCAAGCCAAAATCCTCATTACTTGACAAAAGGGGAATTAGTTAAAGCATGAGGAAGCAACTTTCCACACCTAAACTGTTTGATTTTTCAAAGATTGGCAATCAAAGGGACCCAAAATCAGAAAGCTGCAACTCCTTTTTCCCAGTCAAAGCTCATTAGGGTCCCATCAAATTTAGCATTCTGTCTTGTAAAATTTATTCCCACAAAGGTCCCCACATTAATTCTTTCTTTTTGTGGAAATTAATTTTGACAGCAATATGCCACTACATCAGCAAAGATTACATTTTCTTTTCTTTGTTATGCTATCTACATAAACTGTTAGTCATTTTTAAAAACAAATAATATTCTCTAAGTGCAATTGATTTAAAGAAGTGAGAGTGGAGAGAAGATAAAGGAGAGGTAAGAAATTAGTTTTTTTTTTCAGGGGAAGAGAAAAAGGAAAATATAATTATTATATTCTTGAAAATGTTTGCATTAATTGTTCAATTGCTGTTGGGTATTATATTTATTAACAGGAACAAGATTAACCAGTGTCCAACAAATTCCATTCCACTCTAGCATAAGGTATCGCCCCTCAATATTTCTTGTTCTTGTTTTTTTATCATTTCTGGAATGTTAGATCATCTATAAATGTTCATTCTTGCAAATTTTGGTTCTAAATGTGACAGGGTATTAAAATATCACACGTTGGGTAAAATTGATAAAGTACAATCAAAACCTTTGTTTATTAGAAAGTTAATTATTTGGAAGATAAACGAAAAGTTAAAGGGAATTTAACAAAAAAGAATCTGTACTACGTATCAAAAGGTTACGAAAAAGCCCCGATACCATATTAGAACCTACGATTCTAAGTACATAAGAAGGTGGAAATTGGAGTATTCGGGTCATTATTTTGTACCAAATAAAGCTTATTGAATTGAATTCAATGAATATACGTATTTGAAGGGCATCTACAAAAATAATCGTTCTTCGAGTATTTTTAAATTTGAATTTTATAAAAAAATTCCTTTTCTGACTCTCTTTTGGTGAAAAACGAATATTTTGTAATTTTAGCATAAATTGAAGAGTCTGTAATATATTTTTGCATTATTTGGTATTAAACTTTAATAATTACAAAAAAAAAATACACATATTATGCAGGTGGGTTTTTTATATTAATTTTTTCTTCATGAATTAGATTTATTGTTTTCAATTAAATGTCAACAATTTATAGAAATTATTGTCACTACAAATTATGTGTCAAGTTAGGTGGCCATTTTGTTAGGAAAAAAAGGATATTATTTATTTAAAAAATAAAAGCTCAAGTTAAAAAATAGAAAAAGGAATAGTTAAGGTAGGTTTTGCAAAGTAACGAGTAAGCAGAATGAAGGCTACGAAATGGGCAGAGCATGTGGCTGTGAATCTAATGTGAGAAAAGGACTTGGCTTTGTAATTTGATAGTACTGACAAGTTTGCATTGCTTTACGATAAGAAACACAGTATATGGAAAGATACTCAACATTTTTCATCAAACTAAGTACAACCCTCGCTCTCTACTGTACGGTTCATTCTAACCTACTTGTAAGGATTTTCGTACTTTTAATTAATGCCACAAAATTAAAATTAAACCATTTCATATATCAAAAAACATCTTTTATTCTTTGTTAGTAGTAAAGCTCTTAATCAATTACGTTATTTTACAAGTAATTAAATGAATAATTGGATTTTTCTTTTGATATAACTTTGATTAAATTAAAGGATGGTGTAATAGGCCTAAAAGGGTATTTTTGTTTTGACTTAGAGATAGAAGCACGTCTATCCCACAAGCTGGAATTGGCGACCATACAAACAAGACTTTAGGCAGATGATGACCCACTCATGTTTTTTCTACTCATTACCTCTCGTTAATTTTTGCTTCGTTTTTATCATTGGTCATTCTCATCGTAAAGCAATTCAAAATTCCAGTGCATGGTTTTATCTCTCATATTATGATATTGGCTTGAGGGCAAATTATGTGCATTTGTTGTTTAACTAAAATTTATTTTCGTACTTTTTTATATAAAAAATACATTTCAATAAAAATCTATGACTATAATTTATTTTATCACATATTGTAATTACTGTTTGATAAATTAATTTAATTTTATTAAAACAGTTTTATTTAACTTTATAATAAACAAACTTATTTAAATTCACGGTAGCAAAAGATAAGCAAATATATATAAGAATAAATGTTGTTATCTTTTTTATTTTTTTATGTATTTTAAATATGGATCTTTTCTAATTGTAGTGAAAATTTGACATTCAATTTTTTTTTTAAATAAAAATAATTTTGCTTAAGTGAAAATATATAAAATGATATTTTTTTTTAATATAAAATTAACTTAAACAAATTTTACAAATCTATTTAAATGAATTATTTTGACTTAAACGAATTTTGTGCATTTGATAAGATAGAGGTCAAGTGTGGGAAAAGAAAGGGGTGAAGATAGGTGAAGATAAGAAGAGTGGATAGTATAAGAGTGGTGGTGGAGGAAGAGAATGCTGGAGAGTTGGTTGTAGAGGAAAGAATGAGAGATAAGTATGGGATAGAGTGAGAATGGAAAGAGAATGAGAGGAGTTGAACATAGAGTAAAAGTAAGAGAGAATTAGGAGAGAAAGAGAGAAGTTGAGTATGAAAAAAGAAATAAAGTTAAATTTAAAGACTAAAGAAAGTTTAATATAGAATTTGAATAGTAAGTATTAGACATAAGAAGAAGAAAAAGAGAAGATTAAAAAAGAAGACACAAAATTTGTTTAAACAAAAATAATTCAGTTAAGCGAAACTGTAAAATTCTTTTAAGCAAAAAAAAATTATGCTTAAACTAATTTTGAGTAATTATTTTTTTTTATTTTATATAATTTCACTTAAATAAATATAATTTTACTTAAACAAAAATAAAATTAGATGTCGAGTTTTTGTTACAACTAGAAAGAATATGAATCAAGTCTTTTCTTATTTACTTTTTAAGTAAGTTAAAATAAGATACATGCCTAGTGGTAAGTGTCTTAATTATTCTAAGATGTAATCAAGATGTTATCAAATAAATTTCTTAAAAGATAATGGTGCAACCTTTAAAGGATAAAAATCAAATAAAAAATCCAAAAATATTATAAAATGCAACCAAGATGTTATCAAATATTTCTCTTGTATTTTAACACATTCATTTCCTAAAAGTTCAAATGAATGGATCATGACAAAACTACATATCAACCAATAAAAAGTTTAAATAAAAATACATATGATTTTATTAGCTTGTTATTATATAAAAATCTATTAGGTTTTTCATCCCTGTTGGTAGAAGTACAAAATAAAAGAAGTGACTATGATTTTTAATTTAAAAGTATTTTTGAACACGTTAACAACATATTTCATTGAAAGAAAAGTGAAGAGACGTTCTTCCCTTCAACAGAAAATAAGGAGTAAAATAGAAGACGACCTTAACATGGAGCCATTCGTTGTATCTGTAGGCACGTGTAGAAGGTGGTCAAACATGTGGGCGAATCACCACTTCACATACCAAATGGAATGAGAAAGAAGACCAATTGGTCAAAACAATAGTAATGAAGAAAGTGCACACACCATTGATGATACACTTCATACCCAAATTCCCTGAAATGGGAACACACCATGTGAAGTAGTAGACCTCTACGATCACCATTCTCTCATGTTACTTTTGCCAATGAATTTATGTAATAAACGGTAATAAAAGAATGTTTCTTGGGCTCCTAAAATGAACAAATAGTATAAAAATGCAACATAAATTAAATACAAGGAAATTGTCTTGGACCATGTACCTCAATGAAAAGCAAACATAAAATAGATAACATCCATGATTTTCATATTGGCTTTTGAGCTTTTAAAGTATGATTTAGATGACAGATAAGATTAAACATGTATTATTGGCGAGATTTGAGCAATCAATAATTTATATCTTTTGAATATTGATAATTATTAATTGAAAAGTGAAGTATTTATTATGAATTTGAATATTGATTTCATGGGAGCATATTTGGGGGTATTTGAATTGGTTGGTCCCATAAAATGAAAGTGTGTAGAGAGTGGTCAAATAGAAATAGAAGAAGGAGAGGTCGAGTCACATTATGGAATTCCGAACCCTTTCCCTTCTCTCTTCTGATTCTGACACACTCTTTTTTTTTATTCAATTCATATTCCTCTCATCAAATTAATTAACCTGCGTTCGTTCCCAGAAGTATCTTTGACCCACCAAGGAATATATTCATCACTTTCTGTCAATTTTATTATTATTTTTATGCTTAATAATACATTTACATGTATAAACATTTTTTAGTTAAATAGTTATTACTCCCAATAATAATCGTTTTTCACTATTACGAAAGCTATTTGGAGCCGAGATTATCGGAATAATTGCCACCAAAGTCTTTTGTTCATTTTGATTTGATTTGAACTTTGGGATGCCTATATCGTTTTAAGATGCTAACACGAAACATGTCTCAAGTTTCAACCAAAATTTAATACTTATAAGTTATTGCCAACAGGAAATAAATTTAGAGTTTAGTTTCAGTGTATTATCGATGAAAAGTTTTTTTTATATTATTAAAATTAAATGCATTATTAATGTAATTTTTATAAATTAATATAAAATTAAGTTGTAACAGTTAATAATGCTGTTATCATAGGTTAATACGATGTTACGAAAAAGAAAAAATCATATTAGTTGGGAATGACCCCGATATAAAAAGGGTTAGCATTTTCTTGATCTCATTTTTCACTTGAACAGGTATTGTAACCTAACCCCTTCATAAAAATAAAAATCGTTTTATAATTTATTACTTTTACTTTTGTAGTAGTTTTTCGTGATTGATTGATTAAGACCTACTTGCATAAACAGTTTCTATGCAGAGGAAATTCAAAATCCAAACTTTTGATCATGCCTACTATTTCCATCTCCAAGACTGATCTAAATTCACTTATCTACCCTTTCCCCTTAAAAAACATATAATTTAACAATATTCATTCACTATTAATACAATGATTTTTAATATAAAAAAGTTTTTGCATTGAATTTTTAATTTCACCAATAATTATATGAATAATATAAATTAACAATGAAAAAAATCACTGTTATTAATTCATTTTTTATATTTTAAATCTTTTAAAATATTAATTTTTTTATCTACCCTCCGTATATCAATCAACTAATTATTTTCATCTCTTAAATCACATGTTGAATGGTTTAAAATTTTTTCATTTAAATATAAAGGATACACTATTAAATAAGATTTGATCAATGTAATTTTTTTGAGTTATCCCGCGAGCGTAAAATAAACAAATATAACTATGTGTTGTTTTATATACTTTAACCTTGTTATTTTTTCAAAAGAAATTTGTTGTAAATTTTATTAAAAAAGAGAGAATAAAAAATATAAAGCATTAAAGAAAAACAATTTACACGCTCGTAATTCATGTTTAACACTTTAATTAATTTGATTTATGCGACATTTTGTATTTGTTTAATTTAAACCTAAATAAAATTTATTTTAATTTATTTATAATTAAATTTTTGTTTAATTTTTTAATTATATATTTTGATTAAAAGGTGTATCAATGTGAAAATTAATTTTATACTTTTATAATAAACAGTAGTTTAACAAGTTATTAACATTGAAAACAAAATTTTATTAATAAATAAATTTTTATTTTAACTAATACCCTAAAATAGTGATTAACATTGACTTAATATTTTTATTTTTAATGTATTTTAAGAATATTAATTAAGATAAAGTGTTAAGAGAAAAGAGGTAAATCCTGAATGGAAGGGGGTAAAACAGTAAAAGTAAAAGCAGTGAGATGCTTGAGCAAAAGTGGGCCCAGTCTGATGGCGTGGCGAGATCATAGTTAGATACAGCATCTCTCGTACTGCAGGGGAACCCAAACTTAAAAACACTTTCTTTAGAAAACAAAAACATCTTTTGTTGTTCTTGCTCTTGTTCCTGTTCTTCCTCCATCACATTCATAATCTCACTCTCTCTCTCATCTCTCTCTCATCTCTTTTTCTTGCCATTCCTTCACAACTCGCTACTCCTAACTTACAACCCAAGCTCCAAATTTTAACTCTTTTGCCATCCACTCTTGCATGAGCTAGCTTCCAACTTTCACAGCTCAGACAGAGATCTAATGGAGTACGAGAGGATAGAGAAAGTTCAGGTTTGACATTTAGCTCCATTTCTCTCTCTTATAACTCTACCTGTTTTGCTTTTCGTGGTTGGTTAAGGGGAGCTATGCATCTTGGGGGGGTGTTCTATTTAAGCTTATGCTTTTTGTTTATCAAAATTTAATCTTTATTTTGTTTTCCAACCTGGGTTGGTGGGAAATTGGTCCATTCTTGCCTGAAATTTTGTTTATTTATTTTTTATCATTCAGGGTTCTGTTTTAGGAGTTAAGAATAGTCATTTCATCTGTTTTGTTGCTTAATGGGTTTCGTTACATTGATTCCCTCCAACTGAATTTTTAACACGGTTTCAAAAATTATGCTCTTGCTTTTTTTTGCTACTTTTGTAATGGATTGAAAGCTTGGATTTGTCATAATTGTTTAGTGGGTGCGTGGGGAAGGGAGTGAGAGAAAAGGCTGAAAAAAAGGGAAAGAAAGAAAAAAGAAAAAAAGAGAGCAGGATTCAATTACCCTTGTTTTTCTTCCCAGGAAAGAAAAAAGGTGTGGGTTAAAATGGTGTGGTGGGGTGGGGCTTTTGGTGGAAAGAGAGTGGTCATGTAGTGGGTATCATTCATTGTTTATGTAGTGTTTTGCAAGTTGGGTTCTGTTTGAAATTAGCTAATTCTGTTCTTCTAGGCTTTTGTTGAGAATAAGTATGGCATTTGTTCTATTTTTCACATCTGCAGACTGGAATAATTTCTCCCAGTAAACTGAGGATGAAGTTATTAGGGCCTCACCATCATAGGAAGAAGGATGGATCCAACAGTAACTCATCCAGAACCTCCCCTTCAAGGCTTGAGGATGCTGAATTTCTGAATAGCTTACTTGCTTCAAAAAATGACAATCTTGATGATGAAGGTCTGCAATTGCAATTTATTTATTTTTGCATGTACATTTTTACTATGTGTTAGTTATCATTTATAACGTCTTTTTTGGGTATGTTTTTCTATGGAATAATGTAAGTAATGATGTAGTGATGCCATATATATGAATTTTGTATTTTGGTTTTTGCCTCTTTGCAACTAATTTAGAAACCTATGCCTTCTAGTTACATCTCCAAGCTTAGAAATTCTATCATTAAAGCCATCCAGTGATGCCGCCCCGGACAGGAAACAGAGTGATCCAACTTCTTATGAGCCAAAAGATACAATGCCCAAGGAAAATGGCGACATGGCACGAGTAAAGATGCAGCATTTTCAGAAGGTTGACACTGGAAGTTCGAGCACAATTCACCCGGTGAGGACAACAGAAGATGAAAATCTTGATTATGACAGCAATGCTAGCTCATCTAGTTTTGAGTTTGACAAAGGAGAGAGACCAGTGAACAACCCCGCGACTAGATCCCTATTGAGACCTATGTCTTCTAAGTGGAATGATGCTGAGAAATGGATAATGAATAGACAATATATTCAAGCCAGTCACTCCAAAAAGAATACAGTACATAATAACCCTGCAAATCGCTTGCAAACAAGTATGGTGAGGGTCGTTCCCGAGTCTGGTAATTACGATCATAAGCTTACAACAGGCAAGGTGACAGAAACAAAGCGAGTTGATTTCTGTCAACCAACATCACATATGGGATTTGAGAAATTCTCTTTTGTTCCCTCTGATACTCATTCAGTATCTGGTCAAGCACATGGAAGAAATCCAGTGGTAGGGTCTTTTCCCCAAAGCAAAGATTTAAAGGAAGTAAATGAATTGGGTTTACCTTCCTCAAGAAGTACAGATGATCAGACAGGTATTTGAAGACCTCTTTCTATCACTACAATAATGAAATATATATATATATATATATGTCATCTTTTAGGAAAAATGAAAATAAAGGAAGCATTTCTGTAACTATTTGCTGTTTATGTATTTACAGTAGATTGAATTTGTCTATGCCATATGCCACAAATATTGGAAGTGTTTAATCTTCAGAATAAGCAAATATGGGCACATTATGGGCTGGCCTAAATTTATTATACTAGCATGTTTATCGGAGTACTTGAATATGCATGTGTGTGCTATGCTCTAGACCAAGATTCTTAATCTTAATATCCATAGACAAAATGTTTATGCAATTAGCAGATGAATGGTCTGAGTGAATACTAAAAGGTGTCATTTGGATATCCGGGTGCATGTGTACATCTTTTCATAGGGGACGTCTTCAGAGTGTAGATTGTCTGATTAACTTGTTCTTATCATACAGTGATTCCTGGGATCAGATCTGTTGCTATGAGAGATATGGGAACTGAAATGACCCCTGTGCCAAGTCAAGAACCTTCGCGGACTGCTACTCCTGTTGGGTCTGCAACTCCACTACGTAGTCCAACTTCCTCAATGCCTTCGACTCCTAGGAGAGGTGCACCTGCTCCAACACCTTTGGACAACACAACTGATGATGATTCAGAGTTTCCAGTTGACAACAGCAAAAAACATTTGTCTGAAGAAGAAATGAAGCTCAAAACTAGGAGAGAGATTGCAGCCCTTGGTGTACAGCTTGGTAAGATGAATATTGCTGCGTGGGCAAACAAAGAGGAACAGGAAAAGAAAAAATCTTCTCCTCGGGACACAAACACGCGAGAACAGGAGAAGATTGAATTTGAAAAACGTGCTGCACTTTGGGAGGAAGCCGAGAAATCTAAACATACTGCAAGGTTTTAATTTTACTCATTCTCTGTAGAATAATGTAAATCGTGAATTTTTAAATTAATTATAGAACCATGTAATGTGTTCATCTTTTCTAACGCAATTATAATATTTTAAAATTTGCAGATTTAAGCGTGAGGAAATCAAAATTCAAGCATGGGAAAGTCAGCAAAAGGCAAAATTAGAAGCCGAAATGAGAAAAATTGAGGTAGTTATTCTTTTACATGGAAACAAAGCTATTGCATGCTTAATACCTTAATCTAAATGTGATTTAAAGAGATTAAAAGCATTTAGTGATTGGCATAATAAATGTTTTTATCATTATTATTGATATATCTACTTGAATAGATTACATAAAGATATAACTTGGAAACTGTCTGTCTATCTGAAATAATAACAATGTCTCTTTCATTATGTAAGATTTGATCAAATAATAATATCATAAACTACATAAGAGCAAATCCATATGGTTCTCTGGCCAATATTTAACTGCAATATATCCTTAATACATAAGTTGAACTCTTTCCACCACTTTGCCATTAATTGAAAATACATACATTTTAGGCTAAAGTTGAGCAAATGAGAGCCCAGACACATGCAAAAATGGTGAAAAAGATTGCTATGGCCAGGCAAAGATCAGAAGAAAAACGTGCAGCAGCTGAAGCTAGAAAGAATCGAGAAGCAGAAAGAACTGCTGCTCAAGCCGAATGCATACGCCAAACAGGACGATTACCCTCTTCCAATTTCATTTGTTGTGGTTGGCTGTGATATAATACCGTTGAACTTCAAGACATTGCACTTAGAAGAACATGCAATTACCTCCCAAGATTGCTTACCCTTTTTACAGTGGAAGATATGCCTCATCAAAATGGGCACATCATCTTATACGTTACTTGAAACCTTGCAATTTTCAAGTATCTGAGTGCAAGTTCCTTCATTAAAGCGATTGATGAGTGATGATGTTTACAAGTTACAAAAATGTGTTTTCTTTTTTTATAAAAATTAAATGTTTGCTTTATGTACCTGGCCTTATTTACTCTATTAATGTAAATTTCCTCATGATTTTGCATATCCAACTATTTTCTTTTGGTTCCAAAAAAAAAATTCTAATGGTTGAGTGATGCTATTTCTTACAAATTTTTATTAACAAAGTGCAAGCTTGTGTGAGAACCCTAACAGTATATCACTATTTGAGTGTTGGTGCTTACAGACGTGCATTTCTTCACACTTTCTCGAGGTTTTACTATAGTTACTAAAGCATTGTTAAGAATATAAACTTGTATAGCACCCAATAAAGTGATTCATAGACTTCATTACAAAAGTGGTATTTGCGCTCGAGTTAGACTTGGGCTAGTAAAAGCTTGTTGGCACTTTTTCTCCAATTTTCAAAAGCATGTGTTTGACCCTTTTTGGAGCTTTATTGTGTAATGTAACCGGGAGTCATATCTGCGTGGAACATGCTATAAACAATAAAGTTGGCTACGCCTCTTTATTATGACCTGAACAGTCAAGTTTGTACAAACCACGCTCTCTTTTAATATGAATACAACATTAGCCTTTAAAACTTGCATAATTAAAAAAATTATTAACTAAAGTGTTAAATAAATAAGCAAAAGTAGCCCTTCATAATTCATAACACAATAAAGTGCTAGTCAATTTCTGCTCGCGTAACAAGTTGTATAATCTGAGATGTCATTAAGATTTGATTGGAGTCGTACATGTTACATGGGTAAATTTCGGCTCTTTAAAATCCCATGATGGACTTGCTTGGTGTTGAACCACATTCATGAGACTGACAAGGATTTAAAAAAGATGGGCACAAGTTTGATGATGATTCAGGGAGTGTGTGATGTCCTGAGGACTGGACCAGTAAGCATGGACTTGTTTTCTTATTGACTCGACCCTTTCAGTAGCCACTAACCTAAGTAATGGGCCAAATAAAGGTTTTGGGCTAAGTTTTGGTATGATGCAAGTTTCCACAAGGCTGTAAAAGTGATTCTCATTGAAGTAGTATATGTGAAAACGCCACCAAATGCATTTCAAAAGTTTGAACTTGCCTCTTCTTAGTAAAAAGAGAATTCGGGGACCACAATCAGCTTCTCACTAGGTTAGGAGTTAGGACCTTGAACTAGCTAAGAACCGCATTAAAACTCAGGAAATCTGCACCAGAGCAAAATCCCCTACGAATATAGTGGGGCATTTGGTTCAGTCCTATGGACCATTATCAACATTCAACAACGTTCCAAAAAAAAATTGGATCTAAATGACCTTTTCTTTTTATTTTTCTGTTTTCTTTAGTGTGAACTAAGAATTTTCTTTAGTCAATAGCGGAAGACTAATGCTTTTCAGTTGTAGAGATTATCCAAGTGAGTTTCATCTTAACTCTTTTCCATGTATATAATCAGGAATTAAAGTATTAAACCACTGTCACACACTTATCAACTTGCCTCTTTTTCAAGGATAGAATATGAAAATCAGATAAAAAGATAATATAACAAACCGGGTGGAAGAGATTGCTTCAATTCATTAGCTTTCTGAGGGTCAAAGACAGAAAGTGTACAAACACTGATGAATACATCGTACAAACATCAAGCGTTCAATTTCAATTCATTCTGCCAATAAACATCATACATAAAACCAAATTGCAATTACCATAGTGCTTCGCGAGACAAGTGTCCAACCCAATTTCTCTTTTACCCCGAATACTTATCGTTGTTTTTAGGGCTTAGTCTCATGTTTTTCTTTTTATAGAATCTAAAGGACTTGAAGTATTTTTCATAAGACAAATTTATTCATAGTAAATCAAAATATCGTTACTCTCTTCTGCCCCGAATACTTATGCTAATAATAATTATTATGAAAATAAAAAGTATAGACGAAAAGGTTGTAGGTATTTCTATATATTAAATTTTAAATGTTTCGATAGGTGCCAATTAAGGGTCCTTTTCATATTTATGCACCAAACTACTTCAGGCCACTTAAGCAAGATGTGACCTGAATATCTTAACATTTATGTCTAAACTTGTAAAATTATTCTGATTTAAAGATATTGCTAACACATTTTATTTGATTGCATTAATGTGTAAACTTATTAACACACTCATTTGTCTATTCACGCTTCTTATTAATAACTTGTTAGTATGCCAAGTTGTCAACCAATAGGGTGCTTTCATTTTCACTTTGCTGAAAATCAGGTTAAACCATTAGAAGGAAACTTTGAGTAGTTGGGCTGTTGTTTTAACCAAAACTCCATCCATGTCTTAAACAATAAAAGCTAAATGTTAATCAGTGCACAGATTAATAAAATGTCAATATAACAGTTATATCTGAATGATAAAAAATAAAAGTTAATTAATAATCACATAATTATGTAAAAATGTGCATTTTAATTTTGATAATTCTAGTAAGATTTAATTAATGATCTATATTTATTAGTTTTTACTTGAATAATTTTCTATAGTTAAATAAATAGATACTTATAGAGACTTACATGTAGCTCCATTCGTGAATGGTTCATGCTACATGATTATTGGCTCTCTTCAAAATAGAAATAAATAAGTTGAATTAGAACAAGGACAATATATACCTGTTTATCACTATTCAGAACCCACGGAGATTTCTTTTTGATGGAATAATACTCGTACAGATTGATTTCATGTCATAATTAAAGAAACAATTACCCATAAATTTTAATGAAAGAACCTACTATAAATTGACAAGTGTCGTTGTTAATTACCCAATCACAATTAAGAAGTGTATTAATTGGTAAATCAAGTTCAACACCAGCAGTTTTAGTAGTAATATCGAAATTTCAAATTCATTAAAAATCGGGGGAGATCGATGCTTAGACATGATGCTAAATATTTCATAATAACAGGAAAATTAGGCAATAATGCAAAATGCTTTTGGAGGAACATGCTTACTGTTTACGACAAAATAGTGGAGATGGGCGTCAATATCTACAGTGGAAACAACAAGAGACACGGTCCATGCACGTGTTTAACGAGGTTCCAGTTTGCTACAACCTTTTGGGTCGTGTTGTGGGTGACAGAGAAAATGCCAGATACCATGGTACGCAAGAAAAATAGAAGAGAGAGAGAGAGATTAGAAAATGAAATTAAGATAGAATGTAAGTTATCTTCAACAATAAAGGTGTGGGCTAGGGTTGTTGGGTTGCCTACCCTACCCTTTTTTTAATTGATATTATATGTTATGGTGATAGTGCCTTACCTTGTCATCATTCCATACCCATTAAAATAAAGCTCATAACTAATTAGGTAACCCCACAACATGCATCGAAAATTTGCAGAATTGAACCTACACTCAACTCCAACTTTATCCACCCATTCCTGTAGATATAGCTATTGCTGTATTGCCACAGACCTCCATTGCCCCACTTCTTCATGCAAAGACAAAACTCTTAGATTTTAACTTTTTCACTGCCTATCCCTTAAGTTTAACCGTATTTTTGAATGTGTTTATAATAATCTCCATCGTTTATTTGCTTAAGACTGAGCCACAATGAGCTTAGCAAACAAATGTAGGCTAAGCTACTAGACTTTACTTCTTTTAAACTTGTTTACCTCTTTAAAAATTTGATCTTACGATTTAAAAAGAGTTTTGAGGTCTAGTTATTATTAGCCTAATCTCTCCTAATTTGTTTTAGAAACAATAGAATAATCCGCCTTACATTTGTATATGCATACAACATTCTCACCTGTCAAAAAGTAATAAACCATAAGATGGCAAAAAGAGATATTATTTTACTTCATGAAGAATTGTATATTTCTATTAATTCAATCCTATTCGTAAAAAATGGCAACACTAGAATTTTTACACGGTAAGTTACTGTCAAATTATTAGGGATTGGGACTAGTTTATAATCTAGCATTATATAATAATATTAGTAACTAGCACACAACTCCCTAAACTGTAACGTCAAATATGTGCAATTGTGCATATTGTTCACTGCCTATTATGTATACATCCTACACCCCTTAAATTTTGCAATATTTACCCATATCCAAACCTAAATCCGATAAAAAAATACTTATTCTACCCACTTTAAAATTACTTTGAAATTACCCAATATTTCATTGTGATCCTACTTTCAAACATGCCACACCATCTACCATCATTAAGAAACAAATACTACAATTTCTCTACCTTAGTGGTGGCACGGAATTGTGGTGTTTTGGAGAGTCCAAATACTTTTTACGTGAAGGAATTAGCAAAGATCGAAATGGACAAATGTACAGCTTCGGCTTTGCCATTGATTAAGCAAAGCCATCACAACTAAAGTGAAAGGGTGCATGCCCAAAACCAACAAAGAATACAAAGACCTCACTTTCACATTTATGGAAGCAAGAAGTGATTTGTTCACCGTCCTTGTATTTTTAGAGAGACACATCACATGGTTTTGGTGTCCTCTTCACGTTCCAACTGTCACATCAACCTTTCCCAAAATGTTTAGTTATCAAAAAGATCAATAAGTCCAACATCATCTCCAATGTCCTTTCTTATCTTGATCTTCATACATGAAATAAACAGTTACCAAAGCACTCATCAAAGGTCCAGTAAGTCCTATGTATCACCTTCAATTGTCTAGTAACAATGATAGCTGAGAGAGAGTTCTCTTCAGGCATCGAGTTCCTAACAGAATAAGTAATCAATATATTGTAGATAGCACAATGACAAAATGCCATATAGTTACACTGTTTAGCTTATGAATGGTCCTAAGCAGCAAAAACAGGAAAACAAAACAAAAACAAAAGGTTTATAAGTAGCCTATAAACTACAACTAGACAGTACTTCCACCATTCACAAAGGGTTAAGAAGTACGCTAATAATACAAGAGAGAAGAAATTCATAGTATTGATTGTCACATCATTCAGTAGTTTAAAGACCCCACAGTTGTTACCCCAGTGCTTAAATTTCTTGGGTCCTCACGGCCGGTGTAGTCATCGCAAATGCCATCAGAGAGCCTCTGAATTGGAACTGAGTTCAGAAGCTCGAGGCCATTGTGGCCCATTTGCTGCACTTCCTGTGGGGAAAGTATCTTGATACACCATACACTATTTACAAATTCCCTGCCACACCAAATATCATGAAAACCATAAGTATAAGAATGGCTGGTAAAGAAAGGATTAAGTAACTCGGTTATTTCTGAAGTGACATTGGATTTCATTAAAGAGAGAAGGAACAAAGAATACTTACGGCCAAGGGCCATCGCCAAGGAGAAGAACATCATTCTCTTGGTCAACGAATACAAGCTGCCAGCCTGATCTCACAGGGTCCTCCAACTCACCTTCAAGGCCAAACATACGAGCAAGCTCGCTGCGTAGCTCATGGTAGCTGGTGAATTTAGTGATATCTAACGATCTCCCGAAGGACCCTGACTTATAAACCTGTAAAAAAATCATTACATAAAAATGCAAGACTTGAATAAGCCATCTTTTATTGTGTATCACAACAAAGTGGTAATGAGAAAAAAATTTAAGTTTCAAATTGATAGAGAACACACCAACTGGAAAAGCTCACCTTAACAAAGGTTTTGGTTGGTGGGTTTCCTTGGCCCCCGTTATCAGGAGTTGGCAGGAAGCCCAATTCACCAATATTGGGTGTCATTCCAGGATTCAATGAAGAATCTGTACCTGTGGTGTTTAGGTAATTAGATGATTGAAAAGGTATGGTTGGTGAGTCACTGTTACTGCTGACTCCCTTAAGGCTAGACATCCCATTATGCACAAGAAGCGACGATGGCTCTATATTAACACCAAACAAAAGATGGTTTTGTGGATCATTGCTCCCTTCTATTGCACACTCCCTTCCAGGAAAGGGTGGCAATGTAATGGCATTTTGAGATATGGTGCTCTGTGGCTGCCCCAACTGCTCCACTTGAGGCAGAACACATTGAGATGCTCCAGAAGAGAGGAGAGGATCCAAGGCAATGCGCTTGGAGGGCCATGCACCTGAAGGTTGAACAGGAACCCAAGAGCTAGTTCTAGGAAGGTTGAGAAGGTGAGATGGTTCATCCTGGGGAAATGAACTCAATATACTATGCAAGGGAGAAACAATAGCAGTAGTAGCAGGGTTCCCATTTGAATCTGAAAAACTTTGTTGATGGCCCAATGAAGAGATAGCTTGCATGGGTGGGGATTGAGATTGAGGTGCTGAAACAAACTGAGACATTGTAGAGACAGCACTTGAAATCTGCTGGTGATCTATCACTTGTTGTGGTTGTGGCTGCTGTTGTTGCTGCAGAAGATGATGCTGATTCTGATTATTGAATGAGTGCTGATGCTGTAGATGCTGCTGAAAATGTGTGTGAGTTTGAGCCTGAGATTGGGATGGATGTGGATTTTCTTGACTATTTGGAAAAGCTTGCTGATGTTGAGACTGCTGCAACATTTGGGTCTGCATTAAAGCAGAAGTCCTGTTGGGGAAGTTCTGTGGTTGCTGAAATTGAAGTAAGGAAGTAGCATGCTGCTTCGAAGGATCTAAAGTTCTCATATCCTGAAGTGCAGCAGCAGCCATAGCTTGGTACATATCGGTTTGCAAATTCACCATGGAGGGATGCCTTGGCTGCATCCAAGGACTAACACCAACGCCCTGAAAGGGAAGAGACTGAAGCCCTCGGTCTGGGTCTCGAAGCCACAATAGAGGAGAATTTATACCAAAATCATCATCCTTCAAGCCTGCTATGATTCATTGGAGAGGGTCAATGAAAATGAGTTTACATTTATGTATAAATGAAATTGGCTTAGAAATATAACTGAACTCAACATTGAAAATAGATCAGGTAGCTAGAAAGTTCATGAATATATTCAACTCAAAGGTGGCAAGAAGTATACCATGGAATGAAGGCATTCCTGGAGGCCATGGCCTTTTAAGCCTAAAGGGGAACGGAGATGGATACATTGGAAATGTTGTTAATGGCTCAATTTCCCATAAAGACACACGAGGTTGCCTCTCTCCTGCCGTGGATTCATCCCAGCCAACCTGCAACTCAAGTCAAAGACAGATTAAAATCCTTTCTCAGTCCTTAATGAGACGAATTGCTTCCTGAGAAAGATACTATTGATCTTACTTCTAAAGATACATGTAACATTCAATTTAATTATAGAGCATCAATGAAAAATCAAAAATGTTTCCACACAAACCTTGACTGAGCGCCAATGGGAATTTGGCCACCGAACAGAATCTAAGTCACTAATGCCAGTTATTGTGCCCATGTATCTGCAGGTGTATGTATATATTAGTAGCACAAACATGTAAAAATTTATACTGTCAACGAGGAATTTTATTCAACTTTATCGATGATATGCTACTGCATTATTCAGGATCAGAATAAGAATATATTCAAATCCAAGTCTCTACATTTTCATTGCAACAAATTATAGACCAGCAAAATTAAAACAAACAAAACCAAACTTGTGCTCAGGCAATTGATTTATGACATGTCTAGATAAATAAATTAAAAATGTATATTCATTTTGTATTGAATTTAAGCGCTGATATTTTATCATCATATTTATGCTGCCATGCACCTAGATTGCATACGTTGGGGGAAACAAGACCCGCATATCAACTTACTTTTAGAGTCAAATCTTAGACATGTAGTGCTATACTTAGTTACTTACAATAAACTGACTATCTGTTAAATAAAAAAAGCACAAACCAAGCACAACATGAAATTCACAAATATTTATGAGTTATGACACAAGTGCACAATGACCAGATTAATGTTTTCTATAGCACCTAGAATATTTTGGGACCATCATGCACAACAGCATGAGAGATTTGGAGAGATTTGAAGAACTTAAGAGAAAATCATAACCATCATTGAACACAAGCCAAGAATGCTTCTACAAATTTAGGCAATGGCTTACAGCAACTTCGAAATTTACCCATGTTTGATTTCTAAAATCATTGCATATTGACCTTAATATACCAAAATGTCAAACATAAAAGAGGAAAGCATATCCAGCATCATTTTCAACAAGTTTCAAAACCTACCGCCGCACACTAGATTCCTCTGTTTCAAACAGCATCCTGAAGCGCATACCAACTGAAACTCGAGTATGATACACTGCTTTAACATACTTTGCCAACGATATGACAAATTCTGATGGGCTAGCACTGAATTGAAAGGAAAAAAAAAAAAGTCAATTTACATAATACATCATAACTTGAAACTATAAAAATGTCTGACAGTTATACCGTGGGTTATAAAAGATGGTGAAACGACTATTTGTTGCAGCTGCGTGAGCTGCAGCAGCAAGAAGCCCCAAGTGCATGCTATCACTTGACAACACTGATGAAGGCATCACAGGTTGAGGTCGATTAGCACGTCGAATGCCAAGAAGCAATTGATTCTTTTCATTCCTGTTGAAGAAAATACACATTTATTAGACCAATGATTAGATATAAAAAAATTACCAATGATATTAACTATGTTCAATACTATCACTAAAGCCTAGATGAAAAAGCATATAGCAAGGAGAAATAGGCAGAAGCAACTCTCATGAAGCTTGAACCATACATACACTACAGAACAATAAACAGGAAGAACATGCTTCAATTGCAACCCAATTACAGATCCATGGCTTAAAATATAAATGACATCCAGGTGCTAAAATTCTGAATGGCTAAATGATATAACAAATCACGCGGCTTGGTTCAGGAAGAGAAGTCAATCAACCACATAACTGCCAAAGGCCAATTTCAATATACATGATGAAAAACTTGGTAGTGAGAGCAGAAAATTACTTACCAGATAAACAGCACTGAATCACCAGCAACAAGTCTTTTAGCACTCACAAAGACACTCCATCCTGTTGTAAGTAGATGCCTCTTAGGCTGGCCTGCAGAGAAAGAAAAAACGAATTAAAAAATTGTAGATGGAAACTTAACTTTTATCAGCACCCAGGAATAAATAAACTAAAGTAAAAATTAATTAATTAATTAAAAAATTCCTACATTTGCAACTAATATGACAGAAAAGATCACAGCTTTATAACTCACCCCGGAATATATGTCTGAATTTCCATTCATTACCATGCAAATCTCTTGCAATTAACTCTTGAGCGGGAGGCTGTTGTGAAAAGTCCTGCAGGTCACAATTATGAAGTTAACATTTTTAGAGATTTAATGAACAAGTTGAATTTTCAAAGCAAAAGACTAACAAAATTTTACCAATGGAGGGAAAACTTTTTCAGCTGCCCTGCGAGGAACAGAGAATCCCCCATGAGTGCTAGTATCACTGGCTGTCAAAATTTTGCAAAAGTAGTTTGTTGGCTGTTTACTCGGAGTGCCCAACTCTGCTGGAAGGTATGCCTCCTTTTGCTCTTGCTGAAAAGCATGGTCACGGTCAAAAGTTGAAATTTGAATATAAAAATAAAACACACACAAGTAATTATCAGTTAGGAAAGAGAATCATACAGGACTCAGAGGTTGCAAGGTCATCTGTGCATACACTTCATCTGTCTCAGTATCTGCCTGAATCCAAAACAAATGAACAAATAATTAGAGTCAAAGAGAGTGCAGAAATCAGCATATAGAAGAATTTGAAACAACGACACCAAAATAAAAAGCATTACATGCATAGTCACGTTATGGAGTTGACAAATAAGCTGCGGGGGTAAGCTTGGATAGTTGGGTATATGGCCATCCACTTCTCTGTTGGTAGACACGGCAACCTAAGCAGAAAAATGTTGATACAGGTTATGCTTGCATGCAGCTTATGTAGAAAAAGAACAGACATGTTATTCAATAAAAAAAAGTTCATGTGCTGGTTGCAAGGTGGTAGGTGGAGATATTCCATTTCTGAAGGTTAATTAATTAAACTGCAACAGTACACTGCAGAATTGTGCTTAAGATTGAGTCAAGCATTAAAAGACACACGGGTCACCACAGTTAAAGAATAAAGCGAGCTCTCCTGTAAGAGTGTTGAACTAACCCAACCCTTAGATCAGCATCCCACAGCGTTAGAGACCAAAGTGACAAGACAAAGAACCAATTTAAGTCAAAATACAGTAGCTAAAACAAATAGCATCTTCATGTCCAGGAACTGAAGATTCAAAGTATTATTTTATACATACTAGAAAATCCACAGATAACATCATATCTAACTCACCTGTTCACTGTGACCTTGTGGAAAATAGACCACGCGGCTTCCAACAGCTGGTAAAGAAACAAGAGGACCAGCACATGCATGCCAGAGTTCTGAATCTAGAACTCGTTTTTCTCCTGCAAAACCCCATCCCAATGTCATGAGTATGAAACAGAAAGTTCATAACTGCCTCCTAAATGCCTTAAAGGACAAAATGATTATGGCATAATCTTGACAGCACCAAGATCTTAAAGAAAATATGGTAAAGCCCCGAAGAGAAGAAGGTTCCTCGGAAAATTAAACCAAGTCACTTCCCAGAGTTCTCAGCTACAGCAGAAAGAATAGAAACTGTAGCCACAAGAGGTAAAACTTCCACATACAAAATGAGAATAACATTATAATCCCATGGGACTGAGGATGAAAGAACTTGTTTGTTCCACAGAAAAGAAACGGGAAATTAGAAGAGAGATGAAATGGAAGAAGAATAAGCAAACAAGAGTACACATACCTTCCTGTGGTGGAGGACTAAAACCAGCTGAAGAAAGTTTCATTTCAGTAAAGTTTCCGCAATTTCCAACTTTGAAGCCGAACCCAAAAATCAATTATTTAATAAGCTCTTAAGTAGACAAATTGAGCATCAACAAAATTCCCACAAGGTGAACCCCAAACCAAAAAACAATCCTTTTCGTCTCCTCCTTCCTACACCAGAATATCATTCTTCTTATCTTTATCCCCGTAACCAACCAAAACCCATTTGAATCTAAACAAAACTCAAACACCCCAGATACTGAATTGCCTCAACCATCAACGAGAAATGCTTAGAGGCTCAGAAGATTCCCACCGTTTCAATCCTCAACCAAAACCAGTTTCACTACAAAAGACAATTGTTTTACCCCTACCCTTCATTCGCTTCCAATCCTCCAAAACCCCACCACCCCAAGTTCCAATCTTCAACCCAAAACTTCATGATACAACGTTTTCAAACCCAAGAGCAAGTAACCCACTCCAGTATCTTACTTTTGCTCACCTCCGAATTTAGCAACAAACTGAAAAACCAAGCACGACCCAGAAACCAGATAACCTCAGAAACTTCGAAACCAAACAGATCTCAGCAAAAGGAGCAACGAATCCCAAAGAGTAGCGGATCTCAAAAACAGCGAAGCAAACAAGAACCAGAAAAGAAGACCAAAATGGACTAGGGAATCAGCACAACCACTCCCTGCAGAGCCAGAAACTGAAGCAAACGTTGCAACGGAAAACGACTACGGTTACAAACGATGGTACTAGTTCTTTTTTTGCGGAGGGGACAAGAAAACAGTGTGCTTACGCCTCCTTTAGAAAAAAGAAACCGGGTCGGTTCGGGTTCCTTCCTTTTCGATAAGTGGAAAATGGGTTGCAGTTCCGGCGGCGACTGTGACTGTGCTGCTACTATTGCTTTACCCTTTTTTTTTCTCTCTCTCTCTCTCTCTATGTTTGAGTGAATGAAGACAGAACCGCCATTGTTTTTGGGTGTATTTTTTAAGGAGGAGAAAGAGAGTGTTCCTGTGTTAGATGATTTGTTTTTAGGGAGAGAAAGAGATGGTTTCACAATTTCACATTTTGCTGATATTTATATTTCTAATTTTTTTTTTTAGAGAACACGTATTAACAAATATTAAATAAATGCTATTAAATAGTTTTAATTATTATAAAAAAAATATAGTGATTCTTTTTATAACTTAAAAATGAATATATTTTTATTTTGTATCATGTGCTTTTAATACGCAGTAAAATAATCATTTATATAAATAAATATTAACAGTATTCTTATTGAAACAAAATATTATTAATATAATTTTACTATAATTTTTAATACATTTACCACATAAATTTTAGTAAAAAATTAGTACTATTCTTTATTATTGGTACTTAAGTTATCAATACCTCATAGATATGATATGACCTTTTTGGTGCCCAGGATTGAATACAATCAAGGAGGGAAAAGAAATTAATGAAAACAATAAATTCAGCATTAAGTTTTTCTACTAAAGCTGCCCCGCCCCCTTATGCAGTCACTTTTCCTTTTTTTCCCAACATAAAAAATAACGGTTGTTATTTTAATAAATAAACATTGTACAAAAAACAACAATATTTTTGAATAAATATAAAACTTTATATTTAAAATATATTTTATTTATTTTTCATTTAAAAAAAATTTTTTTGTATTATTTAATTTTTTAACATGGTAATTTTTTATTTTTAGATAAAATATAAGTAAAATAGACCAAATTGCAAGCTAAATTGAACTAATATGTACTTAAATAAGCTTGTAAAAGACTAAAATATAAATAATTTAATAGTTGTCAAATAACCTGTACAAATTAAAAAATTATGATTAAAGTAAATAAAACATCACTTTCAAACATCAAGTTATGCATTTATTCCAAAGTTTTTATGTATAAAAAAAGCATTATTGTTGTAAGACTCAATTTTTCTATAATTTTGAAATTTGGAAATGTTTATTGTTTTATTTGAAAACTTAAATAAAACTCATAATCTCGTGTCAAGAAGACAAAAACAGAATGGGAATTTGCTCATGCCATCAGCTCTCGCGTTTAGCATATTAATAAAACCAAATTAAGTCAATTAAGGGTATGTTTAGTAACGATGTAATAATTTGAAAGTTTATTTTTATTTGTTAATAAATTTTCAATCTAAGACCATAGATATCATTTGCGGAAGACGCCCAGTTAATCTACATGCTAGATTTTAGTTAAAAAATTTATTTAATAAAAATAATATAGTCTGATAAATAATTTAAATAGATAATTAATAATATTTTTTAAATATTATTTTAATTAATGTTTTATTTTTATTATATTTTTTATCTTTATCTTTAATATTTTCAATAACTTAGTTTTTTTATAATTTTAAATATAATTTTTTATAATTGTCATTTATAAAAAATATTTACAAATGACAATTAAATTAAAAATTATATTATTTTATTTGTAGATGACAAATAAAACTAAATAAATATAAATATAAATATCAAAGTTTATAATCATTTAAAATATATAATTACCAAATATTATATTTTAGTTTAACAACTAATTTTATAATGCACTTTAAATTGATTGATTAACTTGTTAAATTTCAACTTATAATTAACTCTTTAACTACCGTTTTCAACTTTTCATTAACTTATCTACTAATTTTGTCATAAACATTCTACATTTACGCAGTTATTTTATTTTTTTAATACTGTGAAGAGAAGTTATCATTGTTATGATGGCATTAATATTAATTATGACGGGAGAAGAAAAGTGGTAAGTGGCCACTAGGGGGTTTGAATTTACATGCATGGAAGGATAAGGGAGAGCATGTTGAAGATTTTGTAGCATCGTAAAATAATTGATGTGATGAAAATTTGAAAAAAAAATTATAAAAATTATACGAAACAGTGAAATAGAGGATCCGTTATGTATCTTTTAATTATGGGTTATGTGGATCTACCCACTACAAACATATTTTATATACATTAAAACTGTGCAAGGACATGTGATCCAGAAATTTGCTTTTTGTACTCTTCGGGGAGAACCATTGCAGAAACAAAAGCAATCTTTTTGTACTCAAGTTTTTCTTTTTTTATTACTTTTCATGTTTAATCATACACATAAAGATGTGAGAAATGCAAATAGAGAAAAATAACTCATTCAACAAAGGAGACATTAATTAGGACGTGTGACAAAAAAATACTCATAATCTTATGGTTAGCATGATCACATAGAGAACCATACACAACTAGTCCGTAACTAGCAATATCACAGTTTTCAATTCTTAATAAAAGGTTACGTGTAATGATGGGACAACGAAATCAATGTCCTATAACCTGCTAGCTTTTGAACTTTTTTTTATATGTACTAAGGCTTTAAACATTAAACAGCAAAAGCGAATTATATTGTACATATATAACTCAGATTGACATATTTACATTATAATAAGTATTAGGTTCAAAGAATCCTGAAAACAATAAATCTGTGCTAGCTATTTACTAATAAGAAATTCCTAAAAATACGAGTTCATGTGAGATTAAAAATTGAGGAAAGTATGTACATTTGAAGCAATTTTTCATTCATTAAAAGCATAATCACCTCGAGCACACATAGGGAACACAAATCTAACTATTAGGCTAAGCATTAAAGAAAATTGAGGTTATCTCCAATTCAACAGGATAACTTTACTGGCGAGAAAGTTATCCCCCTCAACACTCCACACAAAAAAAATCCAGCTAAACGATAACTAGTTCATACCAGATTATTAAATTCATTTATTTTAATTTGTCACTTGTTTATTTAATAATTTGCCTAAACCTTACCTACGGTACCTAATTATCTTTATTTAGATGAGGACTAATAATTTGCCACTAGGTCTAAGCCTAATGTGACATGAGCCTAATCCATAAGATTTCTAACTTTTTGAGTCATATTTATTTAACTATATTAAGTTGATTATCTCATTGTTTAGTTCACTTTAAAATTAACTTGAATTTTGACATAAATTAATTGACCAAATCACAATAAAAATAAGTTAAAGAAAAAAAAACAAACAGAGAACCAAATTAAAAAAAAATAAAGAATAAAAACAATGATTTTTATCTTTGGAGATAAAATACATATATATAATTTAACCGATTTTTAATCTATATTAAAGAGTATAGAATTTTAACATAATACAAAAAATATTTAGTATATTCATGATCAAAATATTTGAAGAAAAAAAAGGCTAAACAAATTCAGATAAAATTTAATATTATAAATTACAAAGATTACTTGAAATTAATTACATGATTTAGCTTTATTTAACCTATCATGCTACTAATGCTTTCAATTTGAATAAGAATATAGAGGATACTTATGTAAAAAAAAAAAAAGAAGTTATTTCAAACATTTTTTAAATACTGTAAAGCATGCATTACAAGAAAATCGTATTTGAAATTTATATGATTTATTTTAATTTAATTTGTTTGTTTTAAAATTGGGGAAAGGTTTTAATATAAATTCATATGCACAGTTTTTGTTATTTAAAGCATATAATTTGATTATTAGGGTACGTAATTTGTGGAAATTAAAGTAGGAAGGAAAACGCAGTGACGTAGAAACGGGAATCTGGACGATCCTACGGATAGAAAATGAATGCGCAGTGTACGACAACAGAGGATGAATTTCATCCATTGGGTGAAGGAAAAGGTAGGTCCCATAAGAAAAAAGAGTTCCTCGATGGGACCTAACAGCACTTTTTCTATTGCTCGCTCTCATTGTCGTACGCAGAGGAAAACGAGACACGAATAGCAAGCGTTTTATTGCTCTGACCCAGAACATTCAACAGTTTGTTGGTGGCATCCATGTAAATTCCTCCAATTGACAGCGACCATTGCTTACACAAACAAAGTTGGAGATACGCAAATGGTTACTTTCTTCCACTCTAGTTTCCATCTCTTTATATCTGTCTTTTTCTGCCTCTGTATGTTTGTATATCTTTTTTAAAATATATAATTTTAAATCAATTTATTTTCTATTATAAATAATGATAAAATAAATAAATAAATAAACAACATAAATGGAAATGTATATTTTTTACAATAATTGCTAAAAACAAGTTATTACAAAGATTAATAGGGCTAGCTAATTTATATATTTTTTACATATTATTTAGCATTAAAAACACTATAAAACATATCAATCGAATACACCATTCAAAAATTTTAAGTTGTTAGATGAGGTGAATAATATACTCTAACGAATTAATACATTGAATAATAACAAATGAATACGAACTCTTTTCCCCATGCAATTTAGCAAATATAACTTTAATTTAACCCGGTAATATTAATTAAATTCGCAAATTTTCTTTCTTTCTATGTATATTAGTTGTGAACCAATCGCTAAACATCAATTTTTTTTACTATCATTCAGATTGCCAGTATTAATCACAATCACAAAAATATCGATTTTTTTTATTTAAAATTAGACCTTAATATGCTTTTTTAATATTTTTTATAGTTGTTTAAAATCAGTTTTAAAGACTTATCAACGTGTAGTTGAATTGGTTTTTAGAATGTTAAAATACCGAATTCATGATCAATTAATCATTTTTAAATAAATCAATTATAAGTAATATATTAAAAATATATGTTTTTAAAAATGTGTTACTGAGCTTCTTCTTTCCGAAAAAATAATTAGAAGCTAATAAAAAACAAAAAATTGTGGAATCATCCTCGTCATATCATATACCTAGGTATATATATGATCGAGGGCCATTAGAAGCAACTGAATCATGATAATGTATATAATATCCATTATCAAGTACAAACTCCACATTTAATAGATAATCTATATAATAATATAGTCAATCATTATTAAGTGGAAAATGGATCAATGTCCATTTGCACATCCGCGTCTGCCATTGCCACGTGAAGGTATTTTTATTCACACATAAAAGGATAAGAG